ACAATATATATGTGTACATATATAAATATATATCTAAATGAATACATATGTGAAATTGTCAAAGAACAAATTTAGCTTGCTAAAATATTTTTGATCATAGACAACCAAAATACATAAAATTGAATTTTTTCTTTATTATGCTTTATTTTATTTTTTAAAAAATTGTTTTTATTGATTTATATATTTTTCTCTGCTTCCCTCCCTTCTTCTCACCCCCCTTTTACCTTCTCTCTTGACCCCCATGCTCCCAATTTACTCAGGAATTCTTGTCTTTTTCTACTTCCCATGTAGGTTAGATCCATGTATGTCTCTCTTAGGGTCTTCATTGTTGTCTAGGTTCTCTGGGATTGTGAAATGTAGGCTCATTTTTCTTTGCTTTATGTCTAAAAGCAACTTATGAGTAAGTACTTATGATAATTGTCTTTCTGGGTTTGGGTTATCTCACTCAATATGATGTTTTCTAGATCCATCCATTTGCCCACTAATTTCAATATGTCATTATTTTTTTTCTGTTCTGTAGCACTCCATTCTGTAAATGTACTCCATTTTCCTTATCTATTCTTCAGTTGAGGGGCATTTAGGTTGCTTCCAGGTTCTGACTGTTACAAATAATGCTGCTATGAACATAGTTGAGCACATGCCCTTGTGGTACGATTGAGTATTCTTTGGGTATATACCCAAAAGTGGTATTGCTGGGTCTTGAGGAAGGTTGTTTTCTAATTTTCTGAGAAATTATCATACTGATTTCCAAAGCAGATGTACCAGCTTGCACTCCCACCAGCAATGCAGAAGTGTTCCCTTTCCCCCACAACCTCTCCAGCATAAGTTGTCATCAGTGTTTTTGATCTTGGCCATTCTTACAGGTGTAAGATGGAATCTCGGAGTTGTTTTGATTTGCATTTCTCTGATGTCTAAGGATGTTGAGCATTTCCTTAAGTGTCTTTCAGTCATTTTAGATTCTTCTGTTGAGAGTTCTCTGTTTAGGACTGTACCCCATTTTTTATTGGATTATTTGTTCTTTTGATGACTAATTTCTTGAGTCTTTGTACATTTTGGAGATCAGTCCTTTGTCTGATGTGGGGTTGGTGAAGATCTTTTCCCTACATGCTGCTGTTTTGTATTGTTGGCTGTGTCCTTGGCTTTACAGAAGCTTTTCAGTTTCAGGAGGTCCCGTTTATTAGTTGTTTTTCTCAGTGTCTGTGCTACTGGGGTTATATTTAGGAATGGTCTTCTGTGCCAATGAGTTCCAGTGTTCTTCCCTCTTTCTCTTCTATGGGAAAACCTGCTTTTTCAGCCTATGTGCTTTAGGCTTCCAGACTCTCTTTACAACTTGGCATCTGTTTCTCCATCTCAGCTCAGGTCATAATTCTCTGATTTAAATGCTCTTTTCTGTCTTTTACCATTTTGATGTTCCATAATCTATTTGAGTGCTTCAAGAATCCCAAACAGAAAGGGAGTGGGGGTGAATCCCAATCCAGGAGGAGACTTGATGTTGGAGATGGCTTCCTTGAACATAGTAGCCTCTTACCTAGACCCTGAAAGAAAATAATGGATATTTAGTGTGTTTACTAGATGCTTGATCTGAAAGCCCCTGCTAGGGACTCCATATGTACCTGTGGTGTGCCTCACAAAGTGGTTGATGGATGTTAATTCCTCCCTTTATGGAGGAGGCTGGAGTTCAGAGAGGTTAAATAACATGTCCAGGACCATTGAGCTAGGCATTAGGAGGTGGGGAGTAAGCTCAGGTTGTAACCTTCTTCTGTTGCTACCTTCAAAATATTTTAGTTTTCTGTATTTCCATTGGGTCTTCTGACTAGAGTGTATTTTGTGGAGGTTATTGTCTAATTTTGTCTTTTTTATGTTTTTTTTGAGATACAAGGTATCAGTCAGTAGCTCAAACATTTTAAAAATACACTATATAGCCTAGCGGCCAACTTGAGACAGTCTTCCTGCATCGGCTTCTCAAGTGCCAGCATTACAGTGTAAGCCACCATGTCTGGTTGCTGTGAATAGTTTTGAATGGGAATAGTGATGGTGTGTTTCAGGGGTCATTTTGATGTTGAATTCGAGTATGATCACTGATGGCTGTTGAAGGCTACCAGCCTTTCGTGACTTGTGAGAAGAGGCCGAGAATTTCTTAAGTAAATAGCTGTTTGTTTACTTGGTTCAAGTGCTTATTTTCTTTTCATTCTCGCGTTTCTCTTATTATCAGCAAATACCGAGAGGCCACTTTCTTCACAAAGATTTAGATTCCCATTGCCGCCTTCAGATTTAATGAAGGCTGGGAAGGAAACGAGAGCTGCCGTAAAACCTTGCAGGTTTTAAAAGCTGACTGCAAGGGAATTCATTTTATGAAGGAAAATTCCCCAGAAGATTTTGATCTTAAGTACCCTTTAGAAGCCTAGCCACAAGTCTCTACTGTCCCTCAAGGATTCTGAGAGGAACAAGACTCGAGATTTGTAGAATGTCAGAATCTGCTTAGAAGCCATTAAGAGCATTACTTTTAAAGGTACTTTGTTTGACTGATAGAACATCATCAAAATAAAAACTCTTTCATCATTCTTCATATCCACACAGAGGATTTGCTTGAATAAAGCGATTCCGAGCAATGATCCATTCATTTAAATAGTCTGTCCCTGGCTAAGACGTGATGTGTGTCACAGCGTCTCTCTGTAGCTCTGCAGAAATAGAAGTGCTGTCTTCTTCTTTCTAAGACATCCCTAGATGTTATGCTATAATGTTTAATGTGTTTTACTTTAAAGTTATATTGCTCAACTTCTTCTCTAAGTATAGATGACTTTTCTTTGTTTTTAAAATATATTTTTGTGTATTATGTTTTTGTGGTTTTTTTACTTTAGTACATTTATTTGTGGGGAGTCGGGGTGAAGGGTGGGCCTCATGCCGTGGCTTGTGTATGGAGGTTAGAAGACAGTTTTTGATGCTTTCCTTCCACCACATGGGTTCCAGGGATGGAATTCAGGTAATCAGGTTTGGCAGAGGCAAACATTTTACCTGCTGAGCCATTTCCTATGGCCCTTGGTTTTTTTGTTTGTTTGTTTTTATTTTTCTGAGACAGGATCTCAGAAAAAAAAGGAGGCTTACAGGCTGGAGAGATGGCTCAGTGGCTAAGAGCTTTGCCTGTTCTTCCAAAGGTCCTGAGTTCAATTCCCAGCAACCACATGGTGGCTCACAACCGTATGCAATGAGAACACTGTATAAATAATAAATAAATTAAAATAAAAAAGGAGGCTTACAGTGTAGACCCCAACTTTCAAAGTTGTGGTGATCCTCCTGTCTCTGCCTCCTGAAATGCTGGAATTACAGGCTTTTACCACTATGTTGTTTCTGTTGTTATAAATAGTATGACCAAAAGCAACTTGGTGAAGAAAGAGTTTATTTTGGCTTATGCTTCCAGGTCATAGTTCATCATTGAGGGAAATGAAGGAAGTGAAGCAGAAACCATGGAGGAACACTGCTTACTGGCTTACGTTCTAGATCATGCTCAGTTTTTTCCATACAACCCAGGTCCACTTACATGTGGATGGTGCTACTCACAGTGGGGTGACCCTCCCTCATCAATTAAGACAATCTCTTACAGATGTGGATAGGCCAGTGTACTCAATGCAGTTCGTCACTTGAGGGTCCCCTTTCCCAGGTGACTCTAAGTTCTGTCACGTTGACAATAAAAACTAATGAGGACGCTGACTTTTGTTTTGTTTTACCTTTCTTTGAGACTGAGTCTCTTGTAGCCCAGGATGACTTTGAAGTGTAGCTGAAGATGACCTTGAACTCCTGATCTTCCTGCATCCACCTCTGGGGTGCTGGGATTATACTCACACCAACATACTCAACGCTTTTTTTCTTTTGTTGAGGGAGAAGGTACCATTCCTTGTGCCAAGCCTTTCATAGCTGAGAAGCCCTGCAATTCAAGGAGGCTTCTGATTACATATAGGGTATTCCTCCACTGGATTTTTTTCTGAGGTCAGACCTGTTCAGGAGAATTTGTTCCAACGCAGAAACTATTCTGCCTGCTCAGTCTAGTGGTTACCAGCTATTGAATGTTCAATTAATTTGTGTGTATGTGTGCATGTGCGTGTGTGTGTGTCTATGCAAAGGTCAGAGGAAGACATCAGTGCCTCTTATCACTTTACCTTATTGCCACGAGATGGGGATTTCTCAACAAACTGGAAACTCTCCATTTCCTGCTAGGCTGGCTGACCAGGAAGCTCCCCCAACCCTTCTGTCTTTACCCTCCTATTCTGGGATTCCAGGCATGGGGCAATGGTACTAAACTCTTTTACATGGATGCTGGGGGTTTGAACTCAGGTTCTCATGCTTGCTTAGAAAAAGAAAAGCCACTTTCCCAACCTCAGGTGGTGTTTAGCTTGAAGTCTAGGGATAATATGGAAATTGAGCCAACAATGAACAATGAAAGGCCTTCCAGAAGCAGGCTAGCGCTGGGGATATAGCTAAGTTAGTAAAATGCTTGCCTAGAATGCATGAGGCTCTGGGTTCAATTCCCAGCACTGAATAAGCCTGTAGCACACACCTATAATCCTAGCACTTAGGGGGTATAGATAGGTATATCAAAGGTTCAAGATCAGTGCTAGCTATAGAGAAGTTCAAGGGTAGCCTGGGCTACATGTCACCTTATCTCAAAAGAAAAACAGAAGCATAGGCTGATGCTCAAGAAGGAGACTTCATCTTAGCCCTCAAAAGCTCTTGTTTTACTTTCTTTCCCTTGTCTAACACCACCACCTCAAAATAAAGGAAAAAAAAAGAAAAGAAAGAAAAAAAAGAAATTCTAGGTCTCTAATTAAGTGAAATGTGTTTTGCAATTTGGAATTTTATTCCAAAAATGGATCATGAATATAACTCTGTTGACAAGTTAAATCATCACTTCGGTGCTTTGTGTGGGTTGGTATTCAACTATGTGGCAACCTTTCTAGTGGTTCTCATGCCTGTTTGATTCAAGCACATCATACTTGTTCGCATTTCAGGTCATCCATATTTCGTTGGTGTCCAGTTCCATCCTGAGTTTTCGTCTAGGCCAATGAAGCCTTCCCCTCCATACCTGGGGCTCTTACTTGCAGCAACCGGCAATCTGAATACCCACCTCCAACAGATGAGCAGACTGTCGTACAGGTAACGGGTTTAATGCTCCTAGCAATTGGTCAAGATGCATGGTTACTAGCATATTAGCTTTTCCACAAAATTTAGAATCATTGTGGAATTTAAGTTTTGAAGAAAGTATGTATTTTATTTTTTTCTGCATTCTATCTTTAGTATCATGCCTAAAATCTTTTCTGAGGAAACATCTTATAAATTATAACCCCAATGTTTTCTTCTAACACTTTCATAGTCTAATATCCAACAGTGTATCTGGAATTTATTGTGAGTTAAGAGTGTAAGGTAAGGGATCTGTTTTTCCTTGTCTTCCCTGAAAGTTGTTAAGTAAATTGGTTTTTATTTAATTTCTGTTTAGTTCAAGTTATGATCTCTTCTACCTGAACTTTTGCTATTCTTTTCATTATCAATACTGTATATACTTTAGGAATATTATCATTTAAATTTTAAAGATATATTTTGCTGTAGTGATATATACCTGAATTCCCAGTATTTGAGAGGCTGAAGCAAGAGGATCATGGATTCCAGGAAAACCTGGTATACATAGTACGACAACATGTCTTTAGTATTTGTTTTTAGAGACAGGGTCTCTCATATCCCAGGCTGTTCTTGAAATTGCTCGTAGCCAAGGATGACCTTGAACTCTGGATCCTCTTGCCTCTAACTTCTAAATACTGGGATTACAGATATCTGTCACCACATTTAGCTGTCCTGAGGATGGAACCCAGGGATTCATGCATGCTAGGCAAGTACTCTTACCTACTGAACTCCAGCCTAAAAAACAAAACCCAGATAACCAACCAAAAAAGCAAAAAACAGGAGTGGTGAGAAGGTATTGCTCTGGTCTAATTTCCCAGATGAACAGCACAGTAATTGTTAAGATCAAGGTAGTAACCAAGATTTCATTACATTTAAATAATAGTTTGGATAGAATTTATATCTATACTTATTCTCCTTTGAGAATGTTGTATGCATTATATGGAGAAAGTTTAGATGTGGAAGGAACTACCTAGAATGTTCCAAACTTAGGAAGGGTGATTGACTATCATAGTAATACTGTGTGTTGCATAGACTCTTATCCTTGTAAACAACCATTGCAAGACTGCACTTGAGATCATGGAGCATCGGTACAAGGGGTGTTTGTGAGCTTGTGTTACACAAGCCTTCTTATAATGGCATTATTATTCAGAGATGCTCACGGCTCTAGTGCTTCCCATTTCTGTGGGTTCACACGGGAACAGCTTTACATGGCTTATATGCCTGCTGCCTTACCAAATTATTAATCACTCTTTGCTGTCTTTAATCAGAGCAGTGGCCTTCCAACTGTGTCTGAGGGCTACCATAGGGAGCAGGCTAAGGGGTCTCTAGATTCTTCCCTGCCTTAGATGTGGTCCCCAGATTGCCTGCTTGTGTGCTATGGTTCTACACAAGAGATTTCATATGAGGAAAACATTTCTGGGTTCTCAGGCGGCATAGTTTATGTTACAAATAGAAAATTCCAATGTGGAATTCCAAATCACATGTGTGCCATGACATGTCATGGCTACCTTATGTTCTCTATTATTACAGATTCTCATGTAGAATAGGAGGTGACAATGAAGCAAGTTAGTTGGGCTGAGAGAAATTATACACTTAAGTATCTGGCTGTTCGCAAGCATCAGCTAACAAGCGAATGTGTGTGGTTTGTGTAGTCTGGCTGTCCTACCCACCTGCTGAGTGAGAACTCTTGATTCCTGCGTGGAGGCTGGCACTACTGAGTGAAGCTCCTCCATAGCCGAGCACTTGCCTGAAACAGATACAGTCTTAGAAGAAAAGCCCCTTTAATGGAGCTCATTCCAATTTCAGCCAACCTGTAGGCCTCCATGGTTGTGCATCAATCACAAGTTGGCACCTTCCCTTATGTCTGCCTATCTACCTAGCATACAAGTGGCTCTCCACCAAAGTGGTAAGTGCAGGCAGCAGAAGAGGGTGGTCTAAACCTGATATACTGCAGGGATCTCAATAAAGAATGGTGATTGTTGGCAGATATGGTTGCACATACCTGTAATCCAATCACTCCAGAGACTAGGGGAGTACTGCAAATTCAGTGCTGGTTCAGTCTACACTGTTGGCTCCAAGCCAGTCAGGGTTATATATCAAGACCCTGCCTCAATAAAACAAAATAACACCCCCCAAAACAGCATAGGAAATGCAGCTCAGTTGTAGAATGTTCGCTTAGCATGTATGAACCCTGAGGTTTGATCCCTAGCACCACAAAGCACCGCATGATGATGCATGCCTATAATTCAGCACTTTGGAGGTGGAATCAAAAAGATCGGAAGTTCAAGGTCATCAAAGCCAGCCTGGGCTACGTGAAACCTTGCACAAACAAACAAAAAACCCAACTCACCATAAAAAAACCAATAAACAAATTCCCCCCAAACCCCAAGAATGGTGACTAATAATCCAGTGACAGACACTAGGATTACTAAGGACTTTTCCCCTCAGCTTCTCGCTGGCACCTCCATGGAACTGCTGAATTTTGAAAGGCAGGTGACTGCCTTGCTGGCCACACACTGCTACGAGGTGATTTATTTCGAGCTGTGTTTCTTTCCAACAAGACCTACTGCTTGTAAACAGCTCGAGCATAGGTACTGCAAGGATGGCTTCTTGCCCTGAAATTCTCTCTGATGGTACCCGGGCATGGCACACGGGCAGCCTTGTCTTCACGGTGCAGAGTGTAAAGTTCGTGCCTTTAGTAAGAACACCTGAGCTGTAACCTCTGCATTCTGCCCAACAGAGAATATTTATCATTGAGCACATGGAATTTGTAAGAATATTATTTAGGGATTTAGAGCTGGTGAACTAAATTGTCAGCCACCCTGTTATCTGCGGCATGGCAGCAGTTCTAACAATTCCCCCTAGTTTTAGGCTTACAGCATTCGGTTCAAGGACATAATCATTCTAGGGTAGCATTTTTAGTTTTTTTATTAATTACTGAAAAGTATATGTAAAATCATTAAGGCAGTAAGATGGCCTAATGAGTAGAGGCACTTGCTGCCTAGCACGACAGTCTGAGTTTGGTCCCCAGGATCTACTTGGTGGAAGGAGAGAACTGACTCCCACGAGTTCTCCTCTGACCTCCACACATGCACATCCCCCACCAAAGTGTAATTTAAAGGTACATGCAGCCGGGCACGGTAGTACATGTTTTTAGTCCAAGTGTTCAGGAGGCAGAGGAAGGCACAACTCTTGAGTTTGACACTTAGCCTTGTCTACTATTGAGTTCAGGCCAACCAGGACTACACAGTGAGGCACCCCACCCCAAAATAAGAATAAGGGAAGGAGGAGGAAGAAGGAAGGAAGGAAGAAGAGGAGAAGCAGCAGCTGCCATCACAGCCAGGTGTGGTGGTTTACACCTCTAATTCTAGCACTTGGGAGGTGCAGGTATGTGAGTCACCATGGGTTTGATGGCAACCTGGACTACAGATTGAAACCATGTTTCAAAATGTAAAACAAAAAATTAAACTAAGAGCCTTATTTTGGTTCCACCTAAGAATACATGCGTATTCAGTAATTCTTGAGTCAAAATCAGAATATAGTTGTGCTCACAGCTAATATTCATGACAGTGACCCAGTGCGCATGCATACAGGGGTCAGTCAGGGACGAGATGTAAGGAGAGTTTGGAGAAGGAAGAGTTGCAGGTTTGCTGTGCTCCCTTACTCCCTTCTGTGATATCAAGTGCACCCTCATTCCAACGCTGGCACACAGGTGTGTGTGTGTGTGTGTGTGTGTGTGTGTGTGTGTGTGTGTGTATGCATGCGGGTGTTTCTGCCCATAGAATTTTATTTGAGACTTGGAGTTGAGGGATTTTTACTAAGGGCTTCGTCACACAGATGTTCTCTGCCTAGCATCCATCAAAATTCCAGCCTTTCTGAAGGAAAGCAGTGGTCATCATAAATCACATTATGCGAACAGTGTAAACCGAGAGAAGCGACCTGATTCAAGTTGGTAGTGGAGAATTCATTCTGAAAGCCCTCAGCTATAGACTGACCCTGAAAGATGGCAACTTCCAGGTTAATTCTTTTTGATAAGTACAATTAATCCATTTGCAGAGTAAATAAGTCTAATGGGAAATTATGGTCCATTCAATAAGCAATTGTAATCTTTGGTAATATGTCTCCTTCTGTGTCTAAATATTATCTGTCCTGTCTATAAGAGGTAAACACAAGGGTTGGAAAGATGGCTTAGCCCTTTGAAAATGCCTTCAGCTCCTCCTGGGGACCTGACTTTGGTTCCCAGCACCTATATCTGGCAACTTAAAACCACCTATGAGTCCAGCTCCAGGGGATCCACCACCTTCTTCTGGCCTCCTTGGTTCCCTGCACACAGGTGGTATTCCCTCACATATGCTTGTTTTTAAAAAAGGAAACCACAAGTTTGGAATGGTCTTGCTAGCACGGTTAGAGTGGAATCAGACTGCTTCATATAATTATAAGAAAAATTTAGAAAACTTGGACACTTGTGTCAGGAGTGAGGGGACAGAAACACAGCTCCTCAATGTTAGTCTCAGCAGTTACAGGAATTTTCCAAGACTTTCAGGGACCTTGATACAGGCCAAACTAGGGTTTGTGACTTGGACACTGAAGAGAATTTCAGGACTAGCTGGTATAATGAAGTAGAGTTGGAGATTTTATTGAAGATGTTTAATATAGAGGGTCAAGAAAAAGAGAGGTACTCAGAAGAAAATACTTCACGGTGAGAGCGTAGTGTGGGCTTCTCCTGAGACTCCCAGAAAGTAGGGCAGAGCTGAGGTGAGTACTGGCTCTGCAAGGGACAGGCACAGTGACTCATCTGAGCACTAGCCGTATATACAAGTTGCAGCAAAAAAGCTTGCTTAGAAATCTTTTTCCCCTTTTTCTTTTTCATTTGATAAAAGGTATCTGAGGTGGCTCTGGAGATGCCTTGAATGAAATTATAGTCTGGTAAGGAGAAATCAGGAACCATTAGGGTTGCATTAAGGACTTTAGTATATGTC